TGCCGCAGGTCACATCCAGGGCCTTGTATATGCTGCACAAGTGTTCTACCATGGAGTGACAGCCCCATGTCCTTTCCCTTTTCCCTTTCCTTTTCCCCTTCCCATCTTTTTCTTTTCCTTTCTCCTTCTTTTCCTGCTCTCTGTCTCTCTCTTAGAGAGCAGGGTTTATTGGTTTACTTATTTGCATTGTAAAAGATTGCCACAGTGGTATGTATTTATAGGGTACAGTGTGACAATTGGATACATGTGTACCATGCATAGTAATCAGATCAGATGATTTGCATTTCCTCCTCCTTAAATATTTATTTTTCTGTTGTTCTGGGAACCTTTTAACTCTTCTAGCTCTTTATAGAATCCATAGTAACTTGTGAACTCATAACTCTTCCCTGCTGTAGAACTCAGGAACTTTTCCCTCCTCTACCCGTGTTTTGGTATCCATTGTCTAACCTTCCTCTGTCTCCTGTCCTCCTATCCCTCCTGGCCTCTAGGGAAAACTTCTGCTCTCTACTATATTAATTTTTTTGGCTTTCACATATGAATAAGAACATGTAGTATGTGTCTTTTTTTTTTTTTTTTTTTTTTTTGCAGAGCCAGGGATTGAACTCAGGCCCTTGCGCTTGCCAGGGAAGCGCTTATTCCACTGAGCCATCTCCCCAGCCCCGTATGTGTCTTTCTGTGCCTGGCTTATTTTGCTTAACAGAATAACATTCAGTTCCATCCCTATGTCTGAGGTCTTACTCCTTTTTTTTTTTTTTTTTTTCTGGTAGACCAGGGATCAAACTCAGGACCGTGTGCTTGTCAGGCAAGCACTTTTTCCCCTGAGCTATATCCCTGGCCCCTTGAGGTCTTATTCCTAAGGGCACTAATTCTTACAGAGATTTTTTTTTAAATGTATTTAGTACAATATCTACAAGGTCCCACTATGTAGATCAGACTTATAGTGATCCTTCTGTTTTCAGCCTCCCGAGCACTGGGATTACAGGTTTGTCCCATCACGCCCAGTCTCAATAGCTGTTTCAGTGTGCCTTGGGGCGGGGCTGGCACTGCACAATAGGGATTGAACTCCGAACTCCAGTCCCTACATCTGCCTAAGCAAGAGCTCTAGTCTGTTGAGCTATCTGGCCAGCCCTCACAGCGTTAATTCTAGGATCTTTTTTTTTTTAATTTTATTTTTTATTTTTTGGTGGAACCAGGGATTGCACTCAGGCCCTTGCACTTGCCAGGGAAGCGCTTATTCCACTGAGCCATCTCCCCAGCTCCAACAGCATTAATTCTAACCATGAGGGCTCCACGCTCCGGACTTGACCATCTTTCAAGTGTTCCACCTCCTGACACCATCACTTTGGGGGTTAGGATTTCTACCTGCGAATGGGGGCGGGGCACAAGCTTTAAGACTATTAGATTCTGTTAGGAGGCTGAAGATACTGTCTGGGACACCTTCCCTTGGCCTTTCAAGGGTGCTAACAGGAAGTGTTACAGTTGAGCTATTTCTGGGTTCCTCTTAACCTTGTGCATTGAAACAGGCAGCTTTCCCTCTTTGCTCTGACTGACAGGAAGCTCAGCTTCCAGCTTGCATCCCACCGTTGAGGTCCAGTAGGCCCACCAGGAGAACAGTGCTGTGGACTCCCTTTTGGTGCACCGTACAGCTTGTTCCAGCATTGTGTTCTCTGTGATCTATTTTTATCCTATTGTATTGTGTGTATTTTTGTAAGTTGACTCCAAACTTCTTGGGAACACAAAGCCGGGTGTAAAAGAACAAAACTTAGCAGACCCTTATTGCTCTGACTTTTTTTTTTTTAAAATGCCGCGTGTCACTGTGGGACTGGACTCCCTGCTAGAGAAGCAGCCACCTTGGCCATCCCCTCCTGTCTCCCCCCGAGGGTCTCTCTGGGAGAGCAGCCGCTCAGCACTCAGCACTCACCGAGTTAAGGCAACAGGTTTCAGAGGCCAAACCACCAACATCCATCTGCCAGCAAACTCCACTCCCTCGCCCCAAATGTGCCTCCCAGCTTCCCATCTGGCTGTTGGCGGGAGGCCACAGGGCCTCGGGGAGTTTGCAAAGGGGAAGTGGATAAATAAGCATCTCTGTTTGTATTCCTAACTTCTATTTTTTTGCAACTTAAGCCAGGGCCCCAGGGCCTGGGAATGAATTGCACTCAGGAGGTCTCCTGCCCAGGTATGCAGAAGATGGGGGCCCTGGGAAGCTGTGTGGAGGGTCCAGGTGAGTAGGGGTGGGGTGGGAGTTAGGGGGTGGAGGGGGCGTCATTCACAGGTGACAGCTGAGCCCTCCTTCCCTCCCCAAGTCCAGGCATCTTCCAGCCACTCCTAAGAGGACAATTCTCCCAGCTCTGGGAGCAGCTATTGACGCATATGCATACAATCCACCCTCCAGCTTGCCCTCACCTGCTGGGCCAGAGTCAAAGGCAGCCCAGGGGATTTCACAATCTCTGCTCCACGCAATCTCTTGTTTTCCCAGCCTCAGTCTTCCCTTCTCTAACTTGTTGGCAGGTAGGAACCCATCCTAAGGCGTGAGGGTCCTAAGAATCCCTCAATTGTCGGCATTGCTTTTGTCTGCTTTCTTTTGGGTCTGGGTGCAGCCTTCGTGGAGAGAGGAAGGACTTAGATGAAAGTGGGGTCAAAGGTGAAAAGCAAGCAGAACCAGCTTGGATACCAGCAGGAGCACAGTCCGAGGCTGCAAGCTTGGTCAAGGACCCAACTGCAAGCTTGGTCCAGCCCAGCAGAGAGAGGCCCTGGGAAGGGCCATAGTTTTTATCAACCCAGCAGCTGCTGCAGAAAGAACCTGGAGTTTTCAATACCTCACCTGATAGCTGGCAGTGTCTCCTTTCTTGAGCAGTAACTTGGGTGAGGCAGGTATATCCCACTGGCAGGGTTGTCTCTTGTGCCTGGGCTGTACGGCCCACCCAGGAACTGGACCCACCTGGTCTTTCTGGGTCCCAGCGTGTGGCTAAGAAGGGCTCTGGAGCCCACGGCCAGGCCCACAGAGCTGGTAGTTCCTTCACCTTGCACTGCCTATAAAATGAGGTGATGCGCATAGTATGAGCCCTATAATGTAGCTATGAGGATTGAAGCCAACACAACCAATATAGTCCTTGTCCTACCAGTGGGACAGAAGAGTGTACACCAAGAAACACAGGAGCTCCTAGGCAAAGGGGGACAGGACAGAAGATGTCTGAAGGAGTGCTGGGCCTAGGCAGCATCCCAGACTAACTCCTCACTGAGCCAGGAGGCTTGGGCCCCACTGGGATTGGAGAAATGTTAGCTGCAACATGAACGGAAATGACTGTTATGTCCCAGAAGTAGCTCCTGGTCCCTGCTTCCAGTTGTGGGGTCGAGGGGCCCTACACAATACCTGTGAAATGAACCATGCTCTGGTGGGCCCCTGGGTTTCTCAGGTGAACCTTGAAGACCAAGGGGATGGATGCAAGGAGAATGAGGAAGGGGCCCTCCAACCCCAACCCACACTGTGTATCAAGGATCCAGCCTATGATCTCATTGCAAACAGAACTGACATGAAGTTGACATCAACTGAATTAACACCTAATTTGGACAATGGAAAAACTGCTCAGGGGGCTGGGGAGATGGCTCAGTAGAATAAGTGCTTGCTTGGCAAGCACTAGGGTCTGAGTTCAATCTCTGGTTCCGCAAAAAGAAAAAGAAAAACTGCTCAGGAAGGGTAGTAACGGCCCCAGGGTAGCAGGGAGAGCCCCTCTGAGCAAATAGGGAACTCTGTGGCTAGGTTAGGTTCTCCTGTCTCCACTCATTCTTTGGGTCCTGAGAGCCTCTATCAGAACAAAGTTACCTTTGTGGAAGCTGAAGCACCAGCCAGGTCCCTCTGCAGGGCCCATCCAAGAATCCCAGGTCAGCTGGCGAGGACGACAGCACATCTGGCTGCACCTTCTGGGGCCTGACCTGACTAAGGTCTTCCTCTCCTGTCACCCCAGCTACACTGCAGCTATACTGCAGCCCCCAAGGGTCCCATGACTCCTACCGGCCTGCTCTTCTGTGTCCCAGCCCTGCTCACTCCCTCCCTCCTGGCTACTCCACCACCCTTCTCAGCACTCCACCTTAGTGAGTCCTTCATTAGCTCTAATGAGTCTGTCTCCAGCCAGAGGAACCTGGGTGACATTTAATTATGCCTCTGGTTTCTTCCCAGGGAGGTAAGGAGCCTAAATTTCTCTTCAGATGCTCAGGGGAGAAGGGCATGCAGGGCTTCTGCCAGAATTCAGTCAGATGTGGGTGTGAGGGCAGGCACTGAGGCAGCTCAGGCCAGGGGGAGGGGGGTCACCCAGTTCCCACACCCAGGGCAGGCGCACCCCGACCTCATTTCCCAAGGCAGCGAAGCTTCGCCACGCCCAGGAGCCATAGTGGTGAGAAGGGCCAGGGCTTGGATGTCCTAACTCCATCTCTGATTAATGCTGTAATTCTGGAGGAGCCTCAGGGCCCTGTGCACACATCTTCAGCTGGGAGGGCCATATGGAAGAATTCCACCTCACGGAGCAGTGTGGTCAAACCAAGAACTTGACAGCCTAAAGTTGATTCTCTGGGTCTTACAGAGAAAGGGGAGGAAAAGGGGACAGAGGCCCTTTGGTGCCAGCTCCTCTGGAGCTGGGAGCATAGTTCAGGCCTGGGTGGCAGGTCCTGTGCGTGGGAGCACCCAGCACCTTCATTCTATCCAGCTGTATAAACCCCACATCACTGGAAAGGTGGCCAGAGTCCCATTTTATAGAACAAGAATGAGGCACCAAGAGGCCCTGTGACCAAGGCCCTCAACTGCTAAGCAGCAGGGGAGACATCATAGTCCCTGAGCCAAAGGGCCTATGCAGAAAGGACACACACGGCCTCGTCTTTTCAGGAGTCAGCCCCAAAGGGCCAAGAAAAAAGCTACTCAAGCCTGTGACCACAGGCCACCTCAGGAGCCCCCTTCTGCCCACACTCCACCCTGAAGTCCATCCCCCAAAAGCAGAGACAGAAGCCAGACGTGCTACAGGGCTTTTTAATGTTTCCTTGCGGCTTTTACAACATTGTGAAAAAATACAGTTTAAAAGTCTGGAACTGACCTAGGCGGGGTCAAGGACCACTGAGGGGGCAGCACAGCCCTGTGATTCGCTGCTGAGGGCGCTAAGCTTCCAGAAATAGGAGGACAGGGTCAGCACCCCGGTTAGTGTCAGAGTCAGGGTCCGGACAGGCCCACCACCCCGATAGCCTGGACCTCTTGTACTGTAGTTAGCTCTCTCCCCACTCCTCCTCTAGTTAAGCAGAGGCAGAGGCTGGTCTGCCTATTCCCAGGACAGAAAAATAATCTGCGTCACCCATGGGGCACATACCCCAGTTTCTACTTAATCCCCTGGGTAGGGTGACAGCAGGAGGAATAAAATCTGAATTTCAGAAAAACAACTCTTTAGCATTAAGGGTGTTCCAAATATTGCACGGGATATACAAATACTAAAAAAAAAATTCTTTTGTTTACCTGAAATTCAAATTGAATTCAGCCTTGTGGTGGTTTTTTTTTTTTTTTCTTTCTGTATTTTTTGCTACATCTGGCAACGCTGGCCCGGTGCCCTGGCCTCCGCAGGGGGGCAGGGCTGGAGAGAGGAAGCGGAAGTGCGCGTCCCACGCTGGGTGAGCAGGCCAAAACGCAGCCTCCACCCAGGATATATTATTTTTTAATAATAATTTTTCAGAGCTCTCCACTGGCCTCCTGCAGCTGTTCTAGCATGCGTCAATGCTCCCCGCCCATAGCTCGGCTGGGGCTGGTTTCTTTGACACAGGGGCTTCCCAGAATTGAGTATGCTAGCAGTCTCTAAGCTCCAAGAGGAGGCTTGGTATAAAGGTTTTCTAAAAGGACTCCATTCTATTTATTAACACTGTTCCAAATATTGCTCTATAAGGATTTAAACATATTAATAAAGAACAAACACACCCATGGGGCGGGGCCCCAGCGCTGTTCCTAGTGTCATCTAGGAAAGGGTCCCTTCTCGGGAGCCCCAGAAGCCCCGGCTTTCCTTCAGTTACCGTCCCGTCCTCACCCCTGCGAGGGGCTCGGTGTAGTGTCTGGCTCGCGGCTGGTCCCCTGCTCCAGTCGACCTCCCCGGGCGCAGGTTTCCAAGGATGGAGCTGGAGGGATCGGGATGAGACATCACCCCATTCCTCGTGCTGCGGCACCAGCGGTCGCTGCAGGGACACCAGGCAAGAAAGAGGGTGGAGAGCCAAGGGTTCCTGGTAGAGGACGCGTCCTCCGGCTGACCTGCAATGTGGGTGCCTGAGGCGGAAGCTCAGGGCAACATCTGGCATCCATTTGGGGCCGGGCTAGAGGAAGAGGAAGCCAAGAGGAAGACCGATTCCTGCCTAGGAGAACACAGCCCGGGCCCCTGCTGCTGGGGAGAACAGATGTGTGAGGAAGTCCGCACCCGGCCCGCTGCCAGGTCCTCTGAGGGCCTTGGCTCAGCCGGAGCCCCTGTCCACGACGTCTTAGGCTGCCTCTCATACGGTGAAGTCGAAGGTCACAGTGGATGGGAGCAGGGAGAGGACGCAGCCCAGCGCTCCGGCTGCTTTCTGAACACCTCACACTCGGATCTCATCTTCCTCCTCCTCGTCCATGAAGGAGAACTCCTTGTCGGCCTGCCTGGGGACAGTGGCCTGGGCCCTGTCCGGGCCCCGGAAGGCGGGGCTGCGCTCCTCCAGGACGCCTGAGGTGCAGCTGGAAAGGGAACTGCTGTCCCTCGTGGTGTGGCTGCCTACGCTGCGGGCCGAGCTGGGGCTGGGGGCTGCCGCCGCCGCCCAGCCCTCTTCCTCCAGAGCATGGCAGGGCCTTGCCAGGGGAGGGTCTACCTCAGCCGAAGGGGGATCCTGGGGGACCCTGCTGGGGTCCTCGTCCACGCGGTAACCGCCACCATCCTCCTCAGGGTCCCACTCATCCTTGTCCATGATGCTGAGGACGTCACCCAGCATGGAGGGCCCCAGGTCGATATGGAAGGACATGATGGACTCGGCATGCTTCAGCCCGTAGCTGGCCTTGGGCACAATGGGCAGATCGGTCAGGTCCCCAAAGGCCTGCTCATCGAGAAGGGGGTCTGGGGAGTGGGGGCCCGTGGCGCCATTCCGACGGGGCTCCAGCTCCCCGGCAGCCGCCTCCTCTGCGCTGCCTTCCCCAGCCTCCACCTTCTTCACGGGGCTGGACGACAGGCTCTTGGGCAGTTTGCTGGAGCTCTTCTCTGCGGCCTCTTTCTCATTGAGCTGCGGCAGGGACATGGCATTCTTCACGAAGAGGGCCGAGTCCCGAAGGGAGCCCAGCATGTCCCTCTGCTCCCGGTCCCCCCGGGTCACTGACTGTGACCGCTTGCTACCCCGGAACTTCCGGGACAGAAGGCTACGTTTGGAAGATGAGGAGGAGGAGGCCTGTTCATCCAGGGACTCGCCATCAGGCTCACCTGCCTTGCTGTTGAGGAAGGAGGTGTCCCCGAAGGCGTCCCCCGCCCGGCCCACGTGCATGGTATGGCGGAAGTCACCCAGCGGAGCACTGATCATCTCAGTTGTGAGGTCCACGCGGGAACGGCGCTTGGAATGCACCGAGCTGGACACCAGCTGCTTGAGGATCGGCATCTTGCTGGCTGGGAGGGGAGGCGGACCCTCCCGAGGCCACAGCAGGCAGGTCTGGGATCAGATCTGAAGGCCAAGTCCAGTGGGTGGCAAGGCCAGCACCAGGGAGATCACAGGCCTGTAAGCAGAGGACAGGAGGGGCAGGGTTAACAGGCTGGCCACTCAGTGCCAAATCCCATCTGCCAAGGGGCTGTCACTGAACCCCAGCTCCCCAACCAAAATGACGAGATGCAAAAGAATCCAGCAATCAATTTATAAATTGCTGCCTATTTCTTCATTCACAAGCTCCGAGGGTGGAAAAGTGGCTCCGCACACCTAGCAAGCTGAATCCTGCACAAAAACCTTTCTTTTGGAAGACAAAGCCTGTTCCAGTCGCTGCCCAGACCCGGATGCTGTTGGAGCAGAGGAGACCACTCCTCAGGATGAAGGCTGCGGAGATGCTTCGGTGGATCAAGGCAACCAGCGTGGAGACTTGCTGCTATCTGACCCCCAATCTCTGTGGAGTGAGGGGACATCTCAGCTTGAGTCACAGTGTTAATGAAAAGAGAGTGACAGGCAGGGCCCACAGGGAGGGCAACACTGCCCAGCACTGACAGGAATGTGGGTGGCCTTGCTTTCCTGAATCAGAATTAGGGTGGGGCTGTGGGCACCAACAAAACCAGCTTCCCAGCCTCCCCACCCCCACCCAGCATCCCACACACAAGGCTCTAGCCTGTGACAGCTCCACCGTGGGCCTCTTAGGGAAAATCTAGAAACTAGAGAATCTAGGAAACTCCTCCTCCCTGTTTCTCTAACCATTAGTGGAGGAGTGAGACAGACTAGACCCTAAATGGCTTAGCCCCGGGGACCCGCAGCACCTGTGTGATAAGCCTGAAACACAGGAACAGCAGCAGACGCACGGATGCCACCCGGGCAGCTGCTAGCTTGGGCTAAGCTCAAGTTCAGTGGGGGGCTAACCCACCACGGCCAGCTTCCAAATGTTAAACTCTGCAGAGCTGGGCATGGTACAGCAGAGGCAGGGAAGGATTTGACCAGCCTGGTGGGTGAGGAGCGGAGTGGGCCCCCAGGAGCCACCTCTCTCCCCCTCCTGCAGATAGCACAGGTCTCAGGCACCTCCTTTTTTTTATCCAGGGCCACCCTGCCCACAGCAAAGCCAGCCCTTCCTCACATCAGCTGAACCCTCTCTAGCACTTGCACTGTCGGTCTTCAAAGTCCCTGAAAGCCCAGTACCTCCCTCCTACTTCTCCAGTTCCCAGTTTCCCTCCTTCAACCTCTATCTCAGCACACAGCACAGCTCTGGGACTTCAGAATCAATCCCCCAAACCCCTCAAGATCCCCTCCCGTGTTCAGGCAGTGACACTGTTTGTCCTCTGGCTAACACCTAGGGCTCAGGAACAGGCAGGGGTGGGCCTGCCCCAAGTGACCTGGCCAGCTCACAGCCAGAGAGGACGCCCCCGGGACACCATGTGATGACCCTGTAGGACAGGCTAGCACTAGTTATAGCTAGCACTAGTTAACGTCCTCTGACCTCACCCCTCATGTCACAGCCACCTCTGAGCAGATACTTACTGAATAACCTGACCAGGACCCAGCAAACCCTTTCTGCGAAGGGCCAGCACACCAATATTTTCATCTTTGTGGCTGACACAAGCTGTGTCACAGCCACTTCGCCCTGTCTTCTGAGAAAATAGCCAAAGATATGCAAACAAATGGACGTGGCTGTGTCCCAATAAAACTTTATTTACAGAAGACCCCAGGGCTGACTGGACAGTAGTGTGTGCCGGGTCTGAAACATTTTCGCTTGGCTGCTCCCAGGTGTGGCTTTTAAATAAACTAGTAAAAATGCAGAAACAAATGACAGAGTGGACTTGGCCCATGGTCAAGTCTGCTGACCTTGGATGCCTTAGGGGACACGCTGGTCAGCCACAGGTCCTGGGCCCAAACTGGGGGTAAAATTCTCTTTGGCTCTGTGCCAGTCATGTTGAGTATGGAAGAAAATTAAAGCAGGTTTCTATGCAATCCCAGAAACTCCTGGTCTCTGCTGCTAGAGCAGGCAGTGAGCCTGTAGCCCAGCTCCCAGAGCCCTGGAATCTCCAACTGCTGCAAGAGATATCCACTGGGTGATGTTTTCCTCCTGCAGACGGGGCAGCAGGCTCCTTGAAGCAGAGCCACTCAGCGGGGCACCCAGGGGCAGCGCTGGCCTACTAGGGCTGGTCCCCACTCTGGCGCTTCTTCTGCCCACTCCAGAGCCTTCTCTGGCCTTTGGTGGGCAGCAGCACTGTTTGGTGAGCACTGAGTGCCCTCCCCACTGCCCGCCAGGGGGACACAGAGAAGGGAGGAAAGAGCCTACCTGCTGCCTAAAGTCCTGTGCTGTCCTCAGCAGGTTCTGACCTAGTGAATGCTTTGCATATCTGTGGGGGTGGGGGAGGCCCCGTACATACAATCTTCACAGCATCTCTGGCCACGACTGCCTAATACCAGTAGCATCTATACCCATTATTCTATTATCATCACCACCACCACCAGCAGCATAGGGAAACTATAGGGGAAGGGACCCCAGGCCCCCGAGCTACATCCCAGCCCTGTTTATATTTTTCAGATGGGGCCTCGCTAAGTCACTACATTGCTCAGGCTAGGCTGAAGCTTGTGTTACTCCTGCCCCAGCCTCCCACAGCAGGATTATAGGCCTCTGCCTCCGCATCCAGCTCCAGCCCAGTTCTGACACCCAGTCTCAAAAAACAGCCCAATGTCTGTGGGAGGCAAAATTGGCCTGATCCGGGATCCACTGCCCCAGGGAGAACCCTGGTGGAAATGAGGTGCACACTACTCAACAACAGAAGAGGCAAGCGGGGAGGGGGCCTCCCAGGGTCAGAACGGGGTGAGAGCCTGGTCGGTCACCAGACGCTGAGTTTCATAAGGGTTTGAGGTAACAGAGGGATTCCCACACCAGGAAGCCCAGCAAGCACTGTGGTTTCCCAACTGAAGCACTCAGCAGAGAACACCGCTGCCAGGGTTCACCGCGAGTTTTGCACTGGAGATCCCTTCGGCCACCCAGGAGAACCAAGTATCCAGGCTGTCACAGCTTTGGTCAGGGGGCTCCCAGCACAGCCTGGGAAGAAGGGCTATAAAGGAGCGGGCAGTAAGGTCACCTGGTGAGAGCTGATGTGTGGTGCCACTATGCCATACATGTGTACCCTTCACAGACCAGCCTGTAATCCCCAGCATCCTGCTTGGCTCCAAGTCCCAGAAAGCGGCGTCTCTCAATGCTGTCTGCTTGCCAGGCCTCACTTCCAGGGTGTGGCATGAGGCTTTGTGGCTTGTGACAAACCACCTTCAATATCCAGCAGGGAAGGGGGCCAAACACAACCTCTACTTGTCCCACTATCTCGGTGATAAGGGTCCTGGGGGCCCAGCAGGCCAAGGTGGGGTGAGACTGGGTCCTCAGAGTCCTCAAGTTTCAGCTCAGATGGGACAGGCCAGGCTGTCACTTGGGGCCAGCAAGGACTCACTCCCTGGGCTGTTCTCAAGTCTTTAGTGTCACAGGCCCATGTGACATGAGTCACACCCTAAGCTAACAGACAAAGATTTGGGGTTAAGGGGATGAACAGAGAAGGAGGGGCCTGGGCCACCTTGGGGATGAAAATTTGGGTCCTCCAGTGCCCACCCAGCGAGGATCAGGCCCCGGGAGCTGCGGCTTTGGGAGGGGCACAGCTTTGGGAGGGGCACTGTGAGGCCCTGACTCACCCTTGGGGAAGTAGCTAAAACAGGCTGCCTGCCTATGACAGCCGGCCACTCCCCGAGGTTTCCCCTGTGGGATAGCCCCAACCCACCCCGGAAGTACCTCGGGCTTCACCACAGAGAAAAGGAGCGCCCACCCCCAGCCTGGAGGGCCAGATTCCTTCACCTTTCACCCCACTGGCCACAGAACCTTCCCCGGAAGGTGGGAAATAACCAGCCTTTCCTGTGAGGGCCCACACACAACCGCACCTCAGCTCAGCCCCTGGGAATACTATAAAGGACGAGCTTTGCCTAGCGCCAGCACCCCTCTCCCCCTGCCCCATTATCCGGCTTAGCAGCCCCTTGATAGCCCCGCAGTGGCCTGTTCCCTGTTCCCGGCAGCGAGACCCAAAGCAGGATGCCGGCCTGAGCTCTCCCTTCCACTCTGCAGCTGACCTGTGGCTCAACCCAGTATACACAGGCCTCAAGGCCCACTGCCACTGCCACCCACCATGGGTCCTTCCTAACTATCCATGGATGCCAGGTGCAGGTAATGCAGTGCCGGGACAGACGGCTTTGGTAAATGGCTTTAGTCATGGCTTGGACTGACTGGCTGCAGGCGGCTTTGTTTACTCATTACCCATTTCACATGATCACTTACGGAGACACCCCTCTTCCTCCTATATTCAAGCATACTCAGCCCTCCACGTCCCTGGTACACATCTGAACATCCAACCAACCACTAATTGAACATCTTTGGGGGGAAAAATACTATTAGTGCCGAACATGTACAGGCTTTTTTCCTTGTGATTATTCTTTAAAGAATTCAGCAGAACCACGATCTCTATGGCACCTGCAGCGTACTAGGGATTATAAGCAATATGGAGATGATTTAAAGGATCCAGGGAAGATGCACGCAGATTCTATGCATGTACTGGGCCGTTGTACATAAGGAAGTTGAGCATCTGTGGATGTTGGTATCTGAAGGAGTCCTGGAAGCAGTTGCCAATGGGTACTCAGGGACTGCTGTCGTCTTTTTTTTTTTTTTTTTTTTTTTCAGAACTGGGGATTGAAACCAGGCCTTTCAGCTTACCAGGCAAGTGCTTATTCTACTGATTAAGCTATGTCCCCGGCCCCCTGCTGTAGTCTTTTAGGCAAAGTGCTGGAGAAAGAAGCAGAAACAGCAAGCAATCTTCCCAGGTTCAGGCGAGTATGGGTGATGGGTGTGACCGTCATAGTCCTCAGCGTATTGAGGGACACGAGGCAATGCATGGGAGCATGGGGGGGCTCTCTAAGGACCGAGGGCCAGAGCTGAGCAAGGAGGAGCCAGCAATGCCAACGATGCCAAGCAGGGTCCGTCGGGGAGCAGCATAGGTGGAGGCCCAAGGTAGGAACAAAGGT